GGATGTCACTTAGTCCTCGGATAAAGAGCTCCGCCTGCCGCCGCCAGTTGCATCCTCGGGTTTCAACCCGAAGCACCCGGACCAAAACTCCATCGTCAATCGTCGCCATTATCGCCGACGCGCAATCCTCTCGTTCCTCATTCAGATGCGCAGCTGTCATCACCACCGTAGCAGGTTGAACTTCTCGTACGTGCTTACGTAGTGTTGAGAAATAATCGTAATACTGCGACACAAATAAGCGGTTCTTCGACAGGAAAGGGACGCTGATATCGGAAAAGTAGATAAATCTTGTTCGGACATGTAGTCAATTATCAAGGTCAGTCAAATGAAAACGAGAAACATGGGGGGAAAAGTAAGTAAACAGTTGCTTATTTCAAAAGTAATCGCTATAACGATTTATAAATTTATCCCTCTGTAAGGCAAGATATTGTCTTCAGAGAAAACGTTTGCAGCTGCCTCCGTAATAATGATTGTACCTACACACGTGCATCTCTTCATCCGAATCCATTCGACGGGACAGGGAACGATGTTGTTGAACGTAATACCGTTCCAAGTGCTGCAGTAACGTCTAAATTGTTCATGTGTTCAACTTCTCTTCCTCTGGCAGGCTGTGGGCAACGCACTGTGTAAGGATTCTCTGGGACTTTGATGCTCCGTCAAGAAGGCGTAAGTGGTTCAACTAATGACTAATGTTCAACTTGAGCCGAATATCTGCCACTGTCCGCAGTCGGTCTCTAGCTATACAACTTGTGTCGAAAATCCTGCCACGTCGGGAGTGGAAATCTAGAACCTCCCGGAGAGAGAAACTGCAGTGACAACAGTTGTTCCCCTAAGCCAGCTCTGCAGCTCATTCAACAAATTTAAGAATCAGTGAATGAGGAACGTTCATCCAAATATCATGCCCATTAAATGCGAGTTTTTTTTTCAGAAACAACGAATAACTACTTGTTGACAACTTACCGCCAACGTAATAGATCTACCGCTTACCATTATTGTTACAATAGTCTATGTAAACTGCTATCAAATCAGTTTATAATTACGACGATATTTCAGGTTAAAATTTGGACATCTTTCCTTTTCACAGAAGCACCTGCGGACATATTTTTTTGCATAAAAAGGGCTACAATTATTATTACATTTGATTCGGATAAATGATTTCACTGCAGTTTGTATGATTATATGTACGAGTATGTATGAGCATTTGTATGAATTTCTTTTTTTCGGTGGACTCTTTGTTTTCGCATGGACGCTCCTCAAATGTTTTCCTGAGCCACCTGAGCCGCTCGCCTCCGCGGAGTTCGATTGGAGACAGTCGCAAGACTCTGTCCCTGGACTGTTGCGATACGTTGTCCGCGTCCGCAGCGAGAGAGCCAGGTCAGAGAAATCAGCGAGAGATGTCGCAACAAATTGCTTTAGTTGCTTTTAATTTGTACTGAAACAACTTAATGTTATTACAAAGAATAATTCAAAATAAGCGCTTCTGGAGGAGAAACCTTTTTTCGGGAGGCATTATCGTCGGCATTAATCTTCTTAACAGTATGAAATTAGAATATTGCACGGGATTGCGTTTTTTAAGGATACACTCAACCAATTTTGAAATGTGTTTGCAAATGGTTGGAGGAAAGATTTAAAAGAATCAAACTGTATTTGATGAGACTGAAATCGGCGTGTCCCAAAAGTATGTCTCGCGACATGTCCACATTACAACATGTGGCGCAACACTTGTCATGTATCCCATTTCGAGTGGGAGACATGTGAATTCAACTTTTGTATCGCGACAGTTCTAAACACTGGAAAAACGTCGCCAGGTATGGCTGGGACTGGCCGCGATACACTTTGTCGCTAGGTGTGTAGGAGGCTTTAGGTCGGGCGTAGACGCAGAGCGGGTGCTGGTCCAGGGGCGGGG